AAAAAAAAAAAAAGATCGAATGGATGATTTTGGGATTGAAATTAAATAATATTTAAAATGCAATAATTAAATTTGATATGATGTTCAAATATGAAAATATTATGAATTAAAGTTGATGTGATTATAGATTGATTATTGTTATTAATTATATTTATAAAAAAAAGTAAAAGAATTGAGTTGAGTGAGTTGGTACAAACTTATATCCAAACAATTTTTCACCGGTTGGGTTAGATAAAAACCGAACAAATCTGTATCATAAGTAGTGCTGTAAACGAGCCGAACCAAACCGAGTTTGGGTTGTTCGAACTCGTGTTCGTTTACGTTCGAACGGTGTTCGTGTTCGTTCGTTTATTTTTCGTGCAAAAAATCTTGTTCGAGTTCGTTCGCTTAATTGTTCGTCAAAGTTCGAGTTCGTTCGTGTTCAAATAATTTAATACATAAAATTTTTAAATATGTTTGATTAACTCGAAATTTGTTCGTTCGAACTCGAAAATAAAATAATAAAATAAAAATATTTTTATATTTTAGATTTTTTATTAAAAATATTATGTAAATATATAAAAATAATAAAATTATATTAAATCTAGATTTTCTACTAAAAATATTATATAAATATAGAAAATATAAAATAAAGTTATATTAAATTAAAATCTAGATAATATTTTTATTTTATATTTTCTATATTTATAAAATAAAATTATAATAATAATATAACTTTTATTATATATTTTCCTTATTTATATAATATCTTCAATAAAGAATCTAGATTTAATATAATTTTATTTGTTTTTGTATATTTTACATAATATTTTTAATAAAAAATCTGAAATATAAATTAATATTCGCGAACATAATCGAACGTTTACGAACGAGCTCGCGTTCGTTCGATTACTAAACGAGCCTAATTTATGTTCGAACTCGGCTCGATTAATAAGCGAACGAGCTTTTGTCGAACACGAACGAGCTCGAACGAGCTTTTGTTCGCGAACGTTCTGTTCGTTTACTGCTCTAAAATTCATAACACCCCCTAAGTAGAGAAACTACTGCTACTTTGAATGTAACACTGCAAATGGAACACGGTAACATAAATCATAGAATGTGGACACAAACATAATTATGTTGATTAGGTGGACCGCAAATGCATGTGAAAGGAAAATAAAAATTAAAAAAGGCATGGCGGCGAGTGGCGACAAAGGCATAAGAGCGTAGAGAGAGAAAAAAATATCTTAGATATTTTTTGGCACGCACCTCGTCTTCTTCAAGGAGATCAAGGAACCCGGCATCGTATATTGATCTCTTCTCCTTATCAGACAATACTGAAAACACAGAAATTCAAATGCAAATCAAACAATCGAGTCGACTGACCTCGAAAGGGCTTTCGATTTGAACGAATAGATAACAAACTAAACGGATTAACAAATATCCATAATGAATCAAACCAGCGTAGGCCTCGTGAATTTTCTGGAAGCGGCTATTGGCTTCGCCGGCGGCCGACGGGTTCTTCGCCCACCTGTCCGGATGCCATTTCTTCATGGAAAACAAAAACACGGAATAAAAAAATCAAAATAGAAACAAACAGAAATCTGAAAAAGGGTACTATGAAGAAAGAGTGAATCGGCGTTTGTATTTCCGGCGCCGGCGCCGGCGGAGTCAGTCAATTCATCTCACAAAAAGAGGGAGAGAAAAAAACACTCACAAATCAGAATCGTGTACACGATTTCATTAATCGTCATTCCAAACTGTAATCGGAAACTATCAACAACCATAATTCAGACGACGACTAAAAATAAAATAAAAATAAAAAAATAAAACACCGATCGGCGGCGGAACAAAAAAATTTACCAAGGCGAGCTTGCGGTAAGCTGATCGAATGTCGGAGAAGGAGGCGTCCTTGCGGATCCCAAGCACGGAATAGTAGCAGAAGGGTCCGACATCCCGATCCATGACCCGAACCCGGTAAACCCGACGGAAAAATGGCCTTCAACCTAGCTATCGCCTCGACAAATTGTTCCTCCACAAACGCTTACTGGTACAGAGCATTTAGAGATACAGAGAGAATTTTGGCCCTTTTTATGAAATTTTGTAGCAAAATAGAGTTATATTTGTGAAGAAGAGAGACTTTGCTGTGGAGAGAGAAAAATATCTGGAGAAGGTGAGGAAAGTCTGATGCCGGGGAAGGTTCGAGAGAAGGGGAAAGAAGAAGATATTTTGTTGGGCGGAGTTCGAGTTCGGGCCTCGTTATGGGAGAAATTACTGGACCTACCATCGAGATTTTTTCCTTATTAGTAGGTTACTTATTATATTGTTAGGGAAATGCTACATTCAGTTACGGAACCAATTCGTCGAAATTTATAACATTAGATTATCATGTAAGCATTGTGGATAGTTAATCTAACAGTTACAGAGTCTGACGGAGTGGTTCCGTAACGGGATCGTAGAAATTGGTTAATGGATTGTTATTTTGGTTAATGTGGATATCAAGGGCATACTTGTTTATGAAATAATTTGCTCAAAGTGATTTATTTTGATTAACTAGAGTTAAATTTGAAAAATGTGGTAAGTGAAATTTTAATAATATATTAAAATAATATTTAAAATAAAATAATTATTATTGATTAGATGTAAAAATAGGAGATAAATTATTGGAAATGATTGAAAATAATAAATAGTTAAAATTATGTGAGTGGATAAATAGTGAATTACAGTTGATGTGATATGTAAAAATGATTTTTTATAATATTTAATTATATAAATAGTATTAAGGATAGTGGGGTTGAGTTAAAGTTGAGTTAGATTTTGAGTATGAAATAAATGTGAGCGAATTATTTTATAAACAAGCATGCCCTGAGGGGTGTTCTTGGAATGATGCTAATGATTTAGTCAAATTTTTTAATTGAAAAAATAAGATATATTTGAAGGTAAAACTATTGAAAAATATTTTCTGAATAAAATAATTATAAATATAGCATGAATTATAGACAATGAAGGTAAAGTTGAATCTTAGAAATAAACAGCCTAATTATTTGACTATTATATTGTTCTAACAAATATATATTTATATATTCTTGTATTATACATGTTAGAAATAATATAAATAAAGTTATATGACATTGCATAATATAACACATGTATTTTGTTTAAAAAATTACATTGACCAATACTCCCTCCATTTACTATTATAATATCATTATAGAAAAAAAAAATAACAATTTATATCTTACATTTGATCAAATATTCTAAGTTTCATATTTTATTATTAGCTTCATAATATTTTACTTAAACCATAGTTTAGTTCTTTTTTTTTAATCTATATAAATATAAAAAGGTTTAATATTTACCTTTAAAAGTAACTATTTTCCCGCCTATAAAATTCAATTTTACTTTTTTTAGTAAGTTTTCTAAAAAAAATTAGAAATGGGCGGTAATTTTTTGAAATTTAAATTAAGAATATCAATTTAGAATCTGTACAAAATTCAACAAGTCAACAATTGCAGCTTACTATATAATAGTGTATTCATGCGTCCAAAATTACTATTACAAAGGAAAGTAAATAAATCAATGTAATTTATACGTAATCTAATATGGCCGAATATCTTTTGTAATCTGGTCGAATAAAAAGACAAAATCTGGTAAAAAGGCAGACTTCATATTCCCAAATTGCCTTCCATAAATTCCTTTCCGAATGGCAATTCTAGCAAACAAATCTGCAATAATCAAAGATTATTTCCGAAAAAGTAATACAAAATACTTTTTCTATTCGTCAAAGATTGATCAAATCTGCAAATATAACTAAATAGCCATATAAATCAAATTGGTTGACTAAATATAGTTGCCACATTAATGAAATTTACGTGTATCTATTGATATGCATATAATATTTTCTACCAAATTAATCAAATTATGCAACCAAATAAAACATATGTATACGAAATTTAAAAGTATCACCACACATTATATATAGAAGCCCCATTAAACTTCACACATCAGTATCACCGTACATTATATATAGATGCCCCACGATTGAGCTTCACACACCCAAGCACTTCTCAGCACTTAAGAAGGTGATTGAACTTCACACATCCAAGCACTTCTCAGCACTTAAGAAGGTGAAGGGCGTCTTCTAAATTGTATTTGTATTATTTATCATAAAACATTATTTTTTTCTCTGTTTTTCAGAATCACGAGCATTGTGCAAAACTCATATCCATGCAACAATCAATGGATCAACCATGGATAACAGGAAGGAAGTAAAGCATGCGAATAACAAAGGTCGATGAAATAAACACATAAAATGATGAGGAAGAGAAAATTTGATGCCAGGTACTTAATTTTTAACTGAAGCAACCTATAATACTAATAAGATTCATACGAAGTACCTTTCTTTACCTTCATGGTTCTATATTTCTTTCGAGTAATTTGTTTTGCAGGTCCCATTGTTTACTCCTGGTATAATACATGGTAATACACGTTGCTGAGGAAAATATGTAACAATTAGACATTTGTTCACTTCTTTTATGCATTACATCCCAAAATTGATGTTTTCTGTAGTTGAAAACTAATTAGAAGATTTACATGTAGAAAAAAAATCATATATTCACATTCAAATCATAAATTGGAATTACATACATGTAATTGTGATTTTTTATAAATCTTAATTGTTACTTACTTATGCATATTTGTTTTCAGAATGCTTTTAATAATATTGGTATGTAAATAAACGTATTGTGCTTATTCTTTTTCCATGTTATTATATTACATGTTTCCAACGGAATAGCTCTCCAACTTGATTGTGGTACTCCAATTAATAATTCGTTTACTCATTTGGGTGTTGACTATCATATCCAATTATGCAAAAAACATAAAAAAGAAAACAAAAAAAAAAAATTGTTAGTTTATATGCATCTTAGTGAACATAACAGTAAATGCAAGCATTTACCTATTGCTGGATTTTTTAACCTTTAGGTTTAAAAGAAAAATCAATTATTAGTGTTTCAGAACAACTATCAAGTTGTATGTTGTACAAACTAGCAAGGTTTCCCTTATCAAAATAATTAAATCAAATATGAAACAAATATGTGAATTCATTTTTAACATCAGATATTTTGAGGTCCACCATTCATTCAAACAATTACTTTATTTAATTTATCAAAATATAAAAACAAGTTCATATCAAAAGTGTAATTCAGCCAGATAATCCATTAGCTCAATCCTCTCCTTTCATAACATACACAAAGAATCAATTTTGTTTTGTGTAAAAAAAAAAACAAATCACATGCAAATAAATTTATTTTGAATATTATGCTCGGATATCTTGATATAAAAACATACAACTGCTCGGATATTTTGATATAAAAACATATAACTCAAAAAATCTGATGTTTTTGCATTCAGATTGTCTGAAAAATGTTTCGATTTTACAAAAAAAAAGAGCCGCGATAATAATAGAAATAAAAAAACGGTACTAACCTTCGTTGATTCTTCGAAAATCGGCATCCACATCGTAGATCCGTGCACCAAATTGTGCGATTAAGTTGGATATTCAAAGATCCGACTCCCTTGGATAAACTACACAACAAATATATATATATATATTGAATGAATCTCATGCCATGAAAACTTTGTTTAAAATATGTTTGCAAATTTTCATTTGCAGGCGAGAATCTATAAAATTAGATGTTTTTTTAGTTATTTTTGTCGAAAAATGACTATCCATTTTACAGGGTTTGTCTGCGAATGAAGAGAAGAAGAGGGTATGTCGGCGGATGAAGATGAAAATTGGCAACCATACACACCTGATTTTTTTCATTTATATTCATTTGTGTATTTTTGATCGTTTGGATTAAATGGAACTCATATGGTCGTCCAATCATTCTTCACTTAAGAGAACTTTGGACCAAAAATTGTTAAATGTAGTGGGCCATTGTATCTATTAATGTTTATGTTTTTACATACAAGAAATACTAATAATACAGACGCAAATAAGAAGGTGTTACTTCTTAAAATGACTATAATTTATTCCAATGTTAAAATTCCTTTCAAGCTACAGCGGCAACAATTATGGCTGTAAACAAGTGCAAAGGACAATTATCGCATGTTGGTTTATTTCTGTAAAAGTCAGTTTTAAGTCATGAACCGTTATATGTTGCCGTCTCCCGTGTAACCAACTAAAGTGGTTTGAAAATATTACTTTGTAGTGACGAGGTTCACCTACAAATCAAACCAAAAACGTTTTGTGCAAGGAAGTGTTCAATATATATATATAAGGTTTGTATTTACTTGAAATAGTAGTTAACATCTCGCCAAAAAAGTTTAATTTTACCTTTATAAAAATATTTATTTTCATGAATTCACATTGTAGTCAAATCGAATTTCAAAATAAAAATTTTAAGATGACTCTTATTTTAAAATTGATATAATATAATTTATTATTAAAACGTGGACCGTACGGGCCGTGTATTAATTTTAAATAGACATGTTTTATATAATTTTGAATAATTTAAATTCAAATAACATTTTCAATTATTTAATATAGTTAACATGTATTACATATTGATTCTATATTTTTTATTTATAAATATTATTTAGCGAGCATTTTTAACTTACAAATATCTACGAATATCTCTTACCCATAGATAAATTATATTACATATTGATTCATTTTTTAAAATTTATAAATATTATTTAATAAATATTTTTTATTTATAAATATTAACAAATATCTCTTACCCGTGCATCGCACGGGATTCGTACTAGTTTTTTTATAATATAAGATTGTATATATATATATATATACTAGTTGTCCTACGGCCGTGCACGCACGGCCCACCCAATTTTAGTCAATAATCTCCTTTTTTTTTAA